GGGGACGGTCGGAGAAAGAGGGGTGCGTGGTCATTGTGATTATTGGGAATGAGGTGACCTTTGAGTCGACACCACGTCATCATCCAACACCTTGTTGCGGCTGTGCACCTGTAGGGGGGGACAGAGAAGGATGTGATTGTAGAGAACGAGGTGACTTCTAGTCAACTCAAAATTTAATACATTATCACGCCACGACTGGATAGGCTGTGGACACTCTAAGGGAGGAGCAGGACCAGTAGAGGGCGGGAGACCAAGAACCTACTCAAGGAGCGGAACAAAGTACGGCCTCGGCCGCGCAGCGCCTCCAGAACCAGCAGGGACAGCACCAGTACCCCCAGCGGCAGCACCAGCGCCAGCAGTACCTCCAGCTTCAACAGCGCCAACTCCAGCACCCTCTGAAGTACCAACGCCAGCAGAACCACCAGCGCCAACACCCCCAGCAGCTCCAGCTCCAGCAGCTCCAGCAGCACCCCCAGCTCCAGCAGCGCCAACTCCAGTACCCTAAGAGGCAACAACACAAGAGGCACCCTCAGCGCCAACACCCCCAGCAGCCCCAGCTCCAGCCGGACCACCAGAAGACGCAGCGGGTTCAGCTCTAGCACCCTCAGTAGCACCGACGCCCGCAGCACCACCAGCTCCAGTATGAGAAGCACCCGCAGGCCCAGCAGCTCCAGTACTCCCAGTACTAGCACCTCCGGGACCCAAGGCACCAGCACCCTCAGCACCAGCGGAACCTCCAGCACCCGCAGCACCTCCAGCTCTAGCAGCTCGCCTCCAGCGCCGGGCAAACCACTCACGCAGCTCCTGTGGAGAGAGTAGCTCCCGCCAGGACGAAGCACCCGAAGAACCTCCTGGCCCAGCACGGCCAGACGCCACACGAGCAGGTCCAGTACCCTCACACTCCGCACCCCCGGACGTAGCACCCCCGGGCTCAGCACCCCAAGACGCAGCACCCCCGGGCGTAGCATCCCCAGGCTTAGCACCCCCAGAGTCAGCACCCCCAGGCTCAGCACCCCTAGACCCAGCACCCGCAGGCTCAGCACCCCTAGCAGCACCAGATTCAACAGCTACCTCGACAGGGTCGACTGCGTCTACCTGAGACACACCTGAGGGGGCAGGACCCTGAGGGGGGAGGGGGTCTACCAGAGGGGGACCTGGCGTAAGGAAGAGTGGAGAAGGAGACGAGCTGCGCGGATCCAGGTAATCAATACCTCAGTGACCTCACCCTTGCTGCGCAAGGGGAAGATTGCAATGTAACGCGAGTAGTAAGGCTCGTGACCCTGTCCACGGATGCGGGCTGGGCCCCACACGTCCATGTGAAGCGTCTGCAGCGGTCCCTCTGTAGGAGGAAACTCGGAGGAGTGAGGAGCAGCGCGCTGCCGCCCGTCAACGCAGGGAACGCAGGTGGGGGCAAGCCCCGGAGGAAGGGGAGGGAGGGGCCGGGGGAGACCAGAGACAAGGACACGGGAGGCCATGCCTCAAAGACGAGGCAGGGAGGGGTGACCAAGGCGGTGGTGCCAGAGGAGAGTCTGGTGAGACAGGAGACGACACGAGCAGGGGGCAGACTCAGGACCAGACCTGGACGCCGCAGCAGACACCTGACCCGACGCGGCTACCTGAGCAGACTCAGCGACCGGAGGAGACTCAGTAGTCAGTGTGTACAGGCTCGACCTCGGCTGACGGGTAAACGTGGCCAAGTGACGGCCCGTCCGAGCACAGGTACAGTGGGTCACTCGCTGACTCGCAAGAGTGAACTGGTGAACCCCTCCATCCTGGAGGTCAGCACC